TGAATCATTATTAATATTTTGATTTATAGTTCTTAAAATCCCCACAAATTCGAAATGTTTTATCTTTCTTTTGAACAATTACTATGGGTGATGCATAAAGTGTTAATATTTTTTCTATTACTCCTATTTTTATCAATCTGTTTAAATTTTCTTCAACTTTTTCTTTTAATGTGTATAGTATGGGACGTGATTTATAGAAAATTGGTTTCTCGTTTTTCATATATATATTTCTGCCTTAAAATCTTGCAAACAGCCCAATTCTTTGGTAAATAATTAAGGAAATTCATTTTGTATATATTTATTTGTATGGTCCTTTCAGGTATTTCAGTTATTTTTGGAAATTTTGTTATCCAGTTTCTTTCAATTAGATTTTTTGTATATCCTTTTGTAATTATGAGAGGTAGTTCAAATGTTCGTCCTTTATATTGTACTTTTAAGTCTGACCTAATAGTAGTATATTGGTTCTTGTATAACTTTTAAGTTTTCGCCTGCAATTTATTAATCCAGAACGATTAAGTTTATTTTTCTAATCTATTTCGATTATTATGCTTACCCCAGCTCCAGTATCTAATTCCATTCTGATATCGCTGTTGTTTATTTTGATATCCACCCAAAATTCAGGATTATATTCATTCGTTGTATTACTAATAAAATTATTTCTTTTCTACAGACTCGAGCATTGTGCCCAATTTTGTTGCATTTATAACAAGTGGCATTGTTGAAAAGACAATTTTCCCTTTTATAATTCCGCCGCAGGAATGGCAGAGATTTAGTTCTTTGTAACTCGTATTATAATTATTATATGATTTTGATTGTTTATCATTATCATTATTAACTTTTTAAATTATATTTATATTATCATGTGGCTCTTCTAAATGATCAATTTTAGTTTTATCATTTTGTATTAATTTTGTATTTTTTATAGCTGTTTCTACTTTAAATAACCTTATTTATGTTTATCTCGGATAATAATCTGTAAAATTTTAGGATTTTTTATTCGGAATATGAATTTATCTCTTAATGCAGTATTTAATATCCCCCAAATTCACAAGTCGTTGCTAATTTTCGAAAATTTAATATCCATTAATTTTTCCTCATTTTTTGATTATATTGATAAAAATTATATCTCTCTACAATTATATTAGGTTTGGGATGAAAAGATTTGATAAAAATATTATGTATTTCTAATACCTCTCTGTTTCCCGGACTATCAGTTGCATAAAATTTACCAGTATTTTGTAAGTATCACTTCCTATTGTTAATAACAGTTATTTTTTTGTGATGATATTAAACTTGGTTGTTTGTTTTTAACTTCAAATAAGTCAGGTTTGAATCCGTTAGATTTTTTATTGACTGCGCCATTCTTGTAATGTATTATTAGAAGCAATTCTTAAAATATCTTTTTATTTTATTCTTTACCAAATCGCATTTACATGCAAATTCATATAATAAATATAATAATGAAAATATACATTTTACAAAAAATACATAATAAACAATTTAATACATAACAGTAACTTTTTAATGTAACTTGTTAAGAAATATTTTTTAATAGGATTAAATTTTTTTTTGGCCGAAAAAACGGGTGACCATAAAATTTAATCGGTATTCTTTTCGCTCATTTTTATTTATTTATAAATATAAAACTAATTTATTATTTCAAGTTGGGTTGAGGGGTTTAGTACTTATGGGTATATTTTTTTATTTTCTTGATCTCCTTGAGATGCTTAAACATAATTTAATTTTTGTATATTTAATAAGAATTAGTAAGAATGCACTTAGTCAAGGCCCGGCCCATATTTAATATTATAAAATATTCAAATAAGGTTTCAGAAATTTTTCCCAGACCCATATCCAAAAATTTAATGAAACTAAACAATATTAAGTGTATTTAAGCAATCATTTTGTTTACGATTCTTAAATTTATTATTATTAGAAGAAATAAATTGCAATATTTTTTTAAATTAGCAACTATTTTAAAATAAAATAAATTTAAATTAAAAAAAACACTAACCCATTAAAAAATTTTAAAAACTTAGACCCGCTAGAAAATAGTCAGGTTTGGGCCACCGTCCCGGCTTATGAAGGTCTCTGATAAGCATTAGTTTAATTGATAAGTGATCGTTATTGGTATATTTTATTTAATCTAATATTTTTGTCCTAGGTACTCACTTTTTGCTTCACACTTAATAAATTTAAATGCGTAGCTGCTTACTATCACAAAATTTTGATTTTCAAAATGCAATGTTGTTAAATACTAATTTTGAAAGTAGCACGCTAAGGCTTTATTTGACAAAAAAGGTAGTATGCTACTGCCTCTATTTTTCAAAAAATTAATGACTTTAGTTACCTTTTAAAAAGTAACTTTCGCTACTTTTTACCCTATTTAAAAATTTTTATATATGTGTTCATTGTCGATAAATTAATATTTCTTAAACATGTAAAAATAAAATATTGGTATGATAAATAATATTAATAAAATCATTATATTATCATCATCTCCATGTGTAGAGCGGGACCAGAAAGTATAAGTGTTTCCTAACTAAATAATCCTTCTGCAGTAGCACCTGAGGGTAATGCGGTATTTAATTTAATTTTCTAAACTTTTTATATAAGAAAAATTATCGAAAATGTTCATTTGAATAATTTTAGACTTAAAAATGCTTAGTCAACGTTACCAATGACCTATTTAATTGCTCTCTTCAAATAAGTAATATAATATCAGAACATTGTTACTTTTTTTTTTCATGAGTCCCTACAATCTGCTGTTGTGCAGATGTTAGAGACATCTGATAGATCTAATATTAAAGATAATTTTATTTTTGAAAATTATCCAAAATTCTTGCCATCACTCTTGTCCAAAATGTCTTGATACTAAGTGAATGTAATCAAATTGATAAATAAGGGCTTATCAACCAAGGAAATTGGCTCTATTTGAGAAACACTTGTTTGAATGTTGTGGGATTAATAAATTTGTCCGTTATTTTATGCATCTAAATTTAAATCGTTAATTTTTTTATTAAGTTCAAAATTTGCAAATTTGGGGATGGGTAATTCCAGGGTATCATTTAGGAAATTTCGTGGTTGTCATCTGTCTTAAAATACCTCCATGTCTATCTTTATTGACAGCAATTTATATTTTTAATTACTTGATAAATTAGGTTTATAAAGCAGATTTTGGTTTCAAAATTAAATTAAAGATTATAATATTAAAATTAACTATTAAATTATAAATAAATATTAATATTACCGCTGCAAAAAAAAATTGCGCTACTTAACAACTTTGTAAATAGGATTGATGGGAAAGAATTATAGACAATTCTTTCAAAATTTAATTTAAAAAATTACCACATTCAAAAAATAATCACATTTTTTAATTGCACTTCTTATTTTTGCCGTTGCCTTAAAAAAGCTCAAAAATTGGTTTTTTACTAATAGGTAATATGAGTCCATAAAATTCAATTCAGTAAAAATGAAGATATATGCTAAAAATATAATTAGCTTTAGTAGGTCATTAATTGTAGTGTAGTTAATGTAACTAGCGCTTTGAGGAATTTAGCTGTAAATAGTTACATTTTGAAAAAAATAACTTTAGCCTGTAACTATGTTTTTGCGAATGTTAAAATTCTTTATTATAGCTATTATATGTAGATTATATTTTAAAAATTCACTCGCTTCAAATCAAATATTTTTATATAATAAAATGCTTGCATCATTAAAAATTTTAACAAAAATTAGCTTCCTAATCTAGTTGCTGTAGATTATTACTGCCATCTCTTTTAAACTTGTTATCACTAATAAAAACTGAAATAAAAATATTTGCTCAGGTTATAATATAATTTATAGAAAAGATATTTTTGCTCAGGCTATACAATATTATTTATAAAATCTGTCTAGTCTTATAATTTATGGAAAAAAACACATATGACCAATCTATATTTTATATTTGAAAAAAAGAAACACTGTTTTGTATATAAAAAAATTATATTCATATTAAAAATAAATTATCATTACAAGTATATATTAAAAATACAACAGATCTAAAGAAAATTAAATAATTTAAGAACCTAAGAAATATGGATAAGGGTAGAAAAAGCCCTCAGGTATCCGTAGTTTTAGTGAAATGAAGCAAAACTATTATTTAATGTTGTTTCAACTCTAACCCAAATCAGGCCACAGTTAAATTCAAGAATCTGTAAAATTAAATAGTAGGGTTGTGCCGATATTAAATATTGGATCGGCTCTGATATTTAGCGTTTTCCAAAAATATCGGATCGAGCCAATACCTGCAAAAAATCGATCCGATCTTTTTACTTTTCTTTTTTTTGTTATTTTATGTTATGTATATTAATTTTACATTATTATAATATTTTTTTTTATCTATTATAATATATTTTTTTTTAATTATAGTCTTAAAGAAATGAAAAATTAAATTAAATGCATAATTCGATTTTTTGCATAAAAAATATTGATTTATTAATTACATTTGGTTCAAAAGGGGGTGGTGAAAAATCAAGATAAATATCAGATCGGGTTTGAACCAAGATCGGATCGGCACAGTCCTGTTAAATAGATACTTATTGGCCATAAATATCTATTAGATTTTACTGACAGCCGGGTTTTTCAGTTTTCTTGTGGTTTTATTACAACCCTACCCAATATTTGTCTAACTTTAACCTAGAAATTTGTTTCGAAAAAATACATTTACCCCTAACTCATAGCTTCCGTGAATTTAAGCAAAATTATTATTTAATTTTTTTTTCAACTTCTAGTCCAAATAGACCTTAGTTTAAATTAAGAATCAGTAAAATCAAATAATGTCTTCTTTGCAGCCCAAAGATTTGTTTAATGGACTATTTTTAAATTTTATGGTAATATTTTCCGGAAAATTTCTGTGATATTTTTTTTTCCAGTGTTATTTTACCTATTACCCTCTCATTCTGCCTCAAAGATTTTATATTCAGTAATTTAAATTAATTTTTTTTTTAAATACAAATTAGAATGATGAGATTGTCCAAAATCGTTTTCCCTTTTATAATACGAAATCATTAAATCACGATTCTGGGAACCCTTATTTAGCTCATAAGTTAACCGAGCTATTGACGTTTTGTGATATTAATAGTGAAAATTCAAAGCAGGATATTGAAAAATCAAATATTATTAAATATGATTTTAATACGAATTCATTACATGATAATAATAATTACCATAAACAATGTAAAAAAATTTGTAAAAGATGTATATGTCATGGTATCGATATTCCCCTGGAAACACCCCTTACATACCTCTATCAAAATTTAAGTAACCCAGATAATTTTCTACACCTTATAATAAAATCATAAAATTTGTTCATATTAATTATGTTATGATGCATTACTGACGATCCCTTACTTACCTCTATCATAATGTAAGTTATTAAGTTAATTTTCTTATTTGTAATAAATCAAAAGTTCATATTATTTATATTGTGATGCATTCCTGATAATATTTGTTTTTGGATCATATATCTATAAAATAAATGTACATTTTGATATTGTATCATGTATAAATAATTTTTATTATTTCTAAATATTTATTAAAAATGTTTGAAACTCAACCTTTATTTAGCCATCCTTATTTAGAAACTTAAAATAACTTAACTCTAAACAAAATACTATTTCCTATTACAAAAATTCGAATCGAATAGTAGAATTATTCGTCGTATTACGAATAATAAAATAATTATTCGATTTGATTCGTCGAATATTCGATTCGAAAATTTTATTTAACCATAAATAAAAAAGATCGAATATTAAATTTATTTTGTAAATTTAACAAGAAGGAAGATAAACAAATTTTATTAGTAAGATAAAATATACATATAGAATAAGGCAGAAAAATCAATATATCAAGAAAAATCTGATAACAACCAATTTTTTAAACACAACGTTTTTCGGATTGCATCCTCTTTTAATGACATTCTATATTTAGTAGCCATATGCGCTCCAACAGAAAAGAGCCGCTCACATGGGGTAGAAGATCCTTGTTTAGATAATATGTATCTTGCCATTTTAGATAAAACGGGAAAACGATCTCCATGTAGTTTCCACTATTCTAGTGGGTTTTTATTTGATATGATTCTCGCTTCTTTTAAATAGGTTTCAACTTCGGAAATTGGTAAAACATTCTGTTTAAAAATTACATCCATATTTGATTGTATTAAAGGTTGACTGACTGATACATTATATTTTAGGAGAGACCTGCAGGCCGGGCCGTATTTTAAATTTTTAAAATATACCCGGGACGGGCCTGAAAATTTTTTTTTTAAAAAACCCGGGCCGGTCCGTATTTTTTTAAAAAATTTATACAACATGAATTATTATATTCGTCAATTAGATATGGTTATAATGATTATATATAGTTATGATTAATATAATGTTTGGTGAAAGTTAACACTAGCTAACACTCATAGTATCTATTACATAATAAAATTATAGTTTTCCTGCCATGGAATAAATTCGCAAAGGATTAAATACATTGTTATATAATATATGTTATATTTTTAATTAATTAAAATATCATTTTTATTTTTTTTATAAATACATGTATATTCTCAAAATATTATTTACACAAATTTTTTATAGTATCAATTTGTAAGATATTAAATATCTGTTTAGGATAAAAAAAATAATATGTTATAGTGTTGTTAAACGGCTCGTTTTGAGCCGATTTTAAAAATGGCTAACTCAGTTTTTTATCCAGATAAATATTATGCAAGCCTGAAAATTTTGCTCATAGAAGGAGCAAAGGTCTAGACATATAGTATCAAAATTTCGAGCCGTATTTAAATATCGGTTCAAAACGAACTGTTTGACAACATTAGCTAATATACTTGCTTATTAAATGATAATACTCGCCAAAAAATATGATAAAATACGAAATAATGAATTTTTTGTATATACCAGGTCGAATATAATTTTAAAAAATTCTGAGCCGGGCCTAAAAAAATTTTTTTTAAAAAAATCCAAGCCAGACCGGGCCCAAAATTTATTTTTTTTAAAATATCCGGGCAGGGCCTAAAATTTTTAAACCCGGGCCGGGCCGTAAAATATTTTTGAAAAAAAAATCCGGGCCAGGCCAAAAATTTTTTAATCTGGGCTGGGCCGTACAAATGGTACCTCTGCAAGTCTCTGATAATTATCAAACATTTTCTTAAAATTATTTAATATAATTGAAATGTTGATATTATAAGAAGGAGGTAAGCATTCAAAAAACTCTAATTTAAGTCTAGGATTTAATATAGCAGATATAATGGTTTCCAAATTTTTTAAATTATAATAAGATATAATTTTTTGTTGAGCATAAATTGCGTTTATGAGTGTATCATCAAAGAGACTTAAGTGCTCAATTAATGAAATATATAATTGAATGACCAAATTAAGGGTAGCATAGGTTTCCCCTGATATAGCAACAGTGAAATCATAAAATGTTTTCAAGTTTCCATGTATTCTTTCTAATGTGACCCATTCATCCTACATTAACAAATAAAAATTAGCATTTAAATATAGATAAATACTTCACTTAGTTGTTTCTCTTAATAGATATATAATAACTATTAATAACTACATGATCATTCAATGGCTTTTCTCATTGTTATTGCTCTTTCTATCAAAGAATATGTGCTATTCCACCTGAAAGGTGTAATTTAATTTTAAATATTTAATTGATGGAATTTGAGAATTACAAATTTCTTTCATCATAGTAATTTATTTTCTTAGAAGAATTTCGGATGCTTTTTATATTGTATCATAATTTCTTTAATTGCTTATCTATTTATTTTTTATTATTTCTTGAACAACAGATTTAAAACATGTGCAAAACAACGAATATGTGCAATTTTTGTGGGATTTTTAATTTTGAGGGTATTTATATAGTTATGGCATTGTCACATGTAATAGCTGTTGACTTTTTATCTATGTTATAATTATTAATGATTCTATAAAATGTTTTATATATGTTTTCCCCAGAATGGGAATTTGTAAATGGAACAATGTCTAATAATATAAATTTTAGTACCCATTCATCATCAATGTAATGGTAGGTTAACCCTAAGAATGGGACATATGTTGGACTTGACCAAATATCTATTGTAAAATTTATTTGAGTTTTTGAATTGTTTATCTTTAATTTTTTTGAATTCATTATCAAAAGATTCATTTGTAGGAATTGAACATATTTTAATGTTAGGATTTAATGCATTAATAAAACATTTAAATTCATTTGTCAAGGATTTTAAATGGGATATTAGATTTGATCAAAAAATTTAATAAATGATGTTTGATATCATTATTGTTATGTACACATGATTATTATTTGAATCATTATTAAAATATGACTCAATAAATTTATTATTCTAGGTCTTTTGATGGAATCGTTTGTTATGATTAATTAAAGCTGAAGTAGTTTTTTTTACACTTAATTTCCACTCGACAAATCTTACATTTAGCAGTTTCTATCGATGCTTGGTAAATATAATGTTTCCATATATCTGCATTTTTCCGTCCTCCTCCAGACTGTATAGAATTTGTTGTAAAAGCATTCACTTTGTTCTACAAAGCTTTCTGATTCAGAAATATTAATTATACCACTGTGTTGAACATCAATTTAATAAATTAAATATTATTATAAAATTTATAGCATGGCCAAAAGGGCAATAGGTTAGTCAGTAAAATTTATGTAAAATCATCAGATCTTATAATTATCATATCAGAATTTTATGTATAATAGAATAAATTAAAGCTGGATTGTTGTACATAAATAATATAAAATATTTTAAACTATACTTCAAAGTTTATAGAGTCACTTATAAAATATTTTTTAAATGCTCATAAAATATGTAAATTATCCCCAAATGTAGATGATAATTTTTAAAAAATTTTATTGGGAAAAGAAACAAGAATATAATATTTAATAGATAATATAAATTTTAGTGAATTTTGATTCATATTAAAGTTTTATATTATTTGATTTGGGCAATAAGAATTTCCTACATTAAATATTATTATAAAATTTATAGCATGGCCAAAAGAAAATAAGAATGTTTAACAAAATAAAGATATTAATTTATAAAATCTTAACATTAAATGGATGATGATAAATTTAGATGTTAATAATACTAATTAAATTAGTTTATAATTAAATTTTTATTACCTAAATATGAAAAAATAGGTCTTTTACAAATATCTAAATGTAATATTTCATATTTATTATGAAATTCTTAAACAAATTTAATGTCTAATTTAGTTTATTTAGCTTCATAAATTTATAAATTGCTGTGATTTAATTATTAAAATAATCATTTTAACATATAAGATAATTAAGATAATAATTTATAAAATCATTAAATATATAGTGATTAATTTTATATTGAAATAAGAATGTTTAACAAAATGATAATTAAGATACATTTATAAAATGTTATCATTAAATGGATGATGATAAATTTAGATGTTATTAAATTAGTTTATTGTTAGATTTGTGTAAATCATTTGAATGTAAATTATATTTTTATATAATTAGTTGGTTTGTAAATATGTTATCGACGGTTGTAAAGTATTAATTATAGTTATTTGAATATTCAGTTTTGGAATTTTTTTTTTATGAATTTTTATGTACTTGTAATTTTTATTATTTTTTATGAACTTTAATGTACTTGTAATTTTTTTTGCATATTAAAAAAATGTATATAAATGGGATAAAATTTTCAAATAAAATAGTGGTCTGTATTTATAAATTTAAAAACTTTAGTGTTATTGTGCAAAATTCAAGATATTAAAATTGGTTTAGTGAAAAAAAGGTGTTGTTCCATTGAGTTTATTAAAGTCTCTCCCACAAGCCTTCGACAAATAGATTACAATTCAAATAAGGAATTGTAACATTGGTACCTTATATTGATTAATCCAGGCTTTAGAAGATCGAAGATCAGTCTAATTATATCTTGGATCTTATAAGGTAAAAAAAAAGATATTTATATAAAAAATTTTATATATATTTCTTTTAAAAAGGAAAAGTTTTTTATGTTATATAAATTTCTTATCATATTATTCGTTTTATTCATATTTTTATATTTATTTAATTTTTTAAGATTAGTCATGATTGTTTTTATTAAGTGGTTATTAAGTGCTCTGTAATATATATTACACATATAAATATGTGGAATTTTTTAATAGATAACATTTTGTTAATAGATATTGTGTTTTTTTTTAGTTTTTAGGAATATTTACGGCTTATATTAAAATAGAAAGTAGAAAAATTTAATAAGAGAAGTAGATAAGGTAAGACCTATAGATAATTACCGACAGATAAGGTGCAATAGTTGTGGTCAGCCGGATCACACGTCGCGACAGTGTGAGTTAAGCAAAGATTTAAAGTGCGCGAGATGTGGCAAGAATGGCCACGTAGCAATAAGATGGAGAATGAATAATTTGATAATGAGATGTACTATATGTGGTCAGGAGCGACACACACAAGAAAGGTGTAAGAATTGACTAGAAAAGGATTTTGATTTTTATGATAATTTTGTTAATAATATTAAATATTTGAATTTTTTTAATTATAAATCAT